GCGGGGTTGACTGCAGTCGATGCCAAGGTTTTAAAAACATCATAACAGGGGCTATTTCTTTGCCTAGACTAGTATCACATTTCTAGATTGTTTTCCACTGAAGTAATTTAAGCACGATTTATTCCCCATGGCGGCATGTTGTAGGGAAACATTCCCAGATCCCTTCATTATTCAACCAAGTTATTTCTTATACTGGTTATTGAGGTACAGTTAACACTATTTTTCTGATGAAAATACGTTTGTTAAAGCCTCTTTTCATTCATAATCTTGAGATTGTCAATATTATTTAACATAATATATTTCTGGCATGCATGTTTAAAATTTGCTTAAAAATTCACTGCCTTGTGTAACAAGATGGCAACTAAGGAGAATAACTTCGAGGCAAAATATGTCAAAAAATCCATCTATTATTTGGTAAGGTGATTGTCCTAACAGAGTAAAGTCTTACACCCTCTGTAATTAAATCCTGCTCATCTATGGTAGGTTGCCTACTTTAAAGAAATCTCTGGCGGGTGCTTTTTTTTTATCACGAGTGTTATTTTTAACTAAATAGAATAAGCTTGAAGGCTGCCTAATCCCTTGTCTTAGGTAGTCATCTTAACAATAATGTCATGGTCATATATAACAGTAAGTTACAATATGATAAAACAAAAAGAGAAAAAAAATTATCGTAATTATTTGGGTATTTAATGTTCCCCATAACCACACGTTGCGACCAAATTATGTAACGACTTGTTTTGTGCATTTTCGATTCCAAGGTTTTGGTACTAAACAAAAACTTATTTTATTCTTATGGACTTCAAAAATAAACAAATACATGGTAGTCATCTAGGTTAACATAATAACCAGAGGAAAACAACGATAAAAGTTTGTAGTTTTTACATGTAGCCAACACCATGAACACGAGAGCCTGGTCACTCAGATTATATACTCTAGAATACTTTAATTATTTAGAATATAATTATTATTTAGTATACAAGTAGCCCTTCAAAGATTGGATGGGCCATGAGTATATAACCCTAGTCAGCGGTCTGTTCAATCAGTGCAGACGGTATAAAATTAAGTATGGCTAGCCTCTCTACTGAAAGGCGATGAATATTTTACTTATTTTACTCTTTCATGGCTGTGTACCATAAATAACAATAGACGATTGTTGTTGAACACTATTGAAGTCACGTGATCTAAACAAGGACTAATTGAAAACTCCGCATGGTCGCGCTTTTATATTCCGGAAAAATTCAGTACTACATTTCCTGGTTATGGAGGAGAAATCTGATACAGTACATGTCTATCAAACTGGTTTCACGGACATTTAATTGCTTGAGGAAACCCTTGCAATATATGTAAGATTTTTAAAAACAATATTTGCAGAGACATAGGTTTTATAAAGATTTAAACACTCCAAACAGTTCTATTCAGAGATAAAAACCGTTCAGGTGAATCTAGGTCAATCGATTATTATTATATAACACATGTTGTTAATCAATGGTGAAAAAAGCATTTATTCAGGGTGTCTCGTAGTGTGTGTTTACCCCTGTCTGCACTGCATGTAACCCTTCTTATAACTACGACAATCCACTCTTATCTAACTAATTTGAGACTTTTGGATAATGAAGTTTCAAACAATGAATAAGTAAAAAGATTACGTCACTTAATTATGCATTTTGAGCCATTGGATATGAGAAGGAAGTAATATCTACATTGCATATCAAGGTCATTGGAAAACCTGCAAGACAACTATAGGTTTCTGCGTCTTAAAGTATTTCGAATTCAAGAGGTAAATATATAATGATAAACATCTAAGGATATTTTATATTTTTTGAGATATAATGTAAGATTTCTAAATTATGAGTTTTCTTTACTTAAGATCTTGATTCTGTTACATGTATAATACTGCTAGCAATTTAAATATATCAGATGCATGGGATTTAAGGAAATTTATGCTGGATAAGATTGTATTCATTATACTCAGATATCACAATGTATTATTAAGTGTTTTAATGTATTGAATACTTATGAGTCGGACCATAATATTTATCAATTGAGTTTAATACTGCTGTAAAGTTCTTAAAAGTTCCCTGAAAGTTTTTACTTCTTTTTATTCTAAAGCTTTAGTTCTTTTTACAATTCTTTTTCATCCGGAAAAAGAAACTAGCTAATGCAAAACACATAATAACTATTTTTGGACCTTTGTTCCTCCATGTATTGTGACGTAACAGCTATTGACCTTGCAGAAGGCATTTAAAATTAAAACGCACATATGCGTCAATGTGGAATGATGAAAATATGAAACACCTCAAATCAAAACATTATACTAGGTTTAATACAAAAGGAAAATTCATTTGTGTCTCAACCACATATAAAACTATCTTTTCTTCTCCGGTCATTATTTGTCATCATCAGTACCTTAAATATTCTAATGATTAATATGGAATTAGCGATTAAATACAACTACGCCATTGAAGATTTGAATTAACCAATTCGCTTTATCATAGTTAGTAGTAAAACAGATTAGGATTTCTTGCAATGATGTTTTACTACCTAATGATGATTCTGTTACGAGGAAACTAAATGATAATGCAATAAATCATTATATTATATAACACTAATATACCTTAGGTTAAAATTGAAAGAAACGCCTTTCATTTAAGGAGGTTCGATCCTGAGCTTTTGAGCAGATTTTGGTCTTGATCTTCATTTCTAGAATTCTGAATTATTTTTTGGTTCGTATGTTAAATCTGGAATCTTTAATGCAAATTGAAGTATATACAATGAAAAAAACCGCGATTAAGTTCCATTCAAGTGGCATTAAGCCAGAAACTATAATTTAAACAATATTTTATTCACTTATGTCATCGTAAATAGGATTGGGCAGCAGGCTCAGCCTATTTTAGCCCTCTCCCTACATTTAGGTCAAGGTACAAAACAAATAGTAATAATGAAAGAATATACAAAAGAAGAGAAAAAAAACGCAAACAAAAATGAACAAAGCAATATAGAGAAAAAAAATACAGAAAAGTCATATAAAGAAAATTGTACAAAAGAGAAAAATAGAATGAACAAAATAACAAAAAGGGCAAATTACAGGGGGGAAAAACAAAATACAAAGCAGTACCGGTTTTGGGAGTATTTCTAATAATTAAAAATTTCATCTATATATATATATATATATATATATATATATATATATATATATATATATATATATATATATATATATATATATATATATATATATATATATGTATATATGTATATGACAGTGTTTTATATAAAACGTTTTGTTGCTGCTATAAATCTATGTACAGCTTCAAATATTTGTATATTAATGTCAAGTCCATGGTTAGAACTACCATTTAAAAATAAAATCACATTCAGGAATATTGTCATAGTTTATAATATCATGTGTTGATTGAAAAAGTACATCTCTTGGAATTATATATTTTGGACAAACAATAAAGTAATGATATGTATCTTCAATACAATCAGTAAAATGTTCACACATTGGATTTTCTGCTAAATGTTGATTATATAAATCTGCTTTCAGATTACTAGCATTATTCCTTAACTGGCAATGTATTATGTTATATTTTCTTATGCCAAAATTAAAAAGTTCAACACTTTTCCTCCAGAAATAAGATTTTAAAAGACTTTTGAATAAACATATTCCTGGGGCATTTTTAATATAAGCTGGCAAGGTATTCCGTTGGTTGACTGTAGAGGGAAGAAAACTTTCCATATAAGATGTTGTTCTAATATTAGGAATTTTAAATTGAACATCATTAGTTCTGAGATTATACGAATGACTTGATGGGCGAAAAGGTTCAATCAGATCAAACAGATACTGAGGAGAATAACCATGAATAATTTTATAAAACAATATTAACTTAAGAATTTTTCTCCTTGTCTTTATCCCATCCAAGTTCATCGCACAATTTTGTACGAGAGGAGTTACACCTTAATCCAGTGATGATTCTGCCTGCTTCAACTTGTATATCTTCTAAGAGTTTAGAATCTTTTTCAGAACAATTGTCCCAAACTACATCAGGAACTATATTTTGTGGTGGAATTTTCAGAAGAAAATGAACAATTTTTCCCTTTTAAATTATGAAAAGTACTTTTAATTTTAGACTCCTATTTTTCCATCCTGTTTTTTGCTGTGAAATGTGTTTTACTGATTCTGAAATATCTAATAGATTAAAATATTTCTTATGAATTCCTCTACGAATTATTACAAACATTGCAAATATTGAAAGTACAGGAAAAAATTCAGCCAATTTTAGCATAAGATTTACACTTTCGTTTAGTAATATCTAAAAATTTACATCATATGCCTCCACTTTTGACGTTCTTTTCCAAATACTTAAGATAACTTTTACTTATCTGCTGAAATTCAGCAAACGTATAAAGCCCTAAACTAATTTTCTAGCTTATTAAATGTTCAATGCCAGAAAAATAATATTTTATGAGTGCAGAATGGTCAAATAATTGAATATACAAAGCAATTTGAAACTCTTTCGTAGTCACAACTTTATAGTGTTTTTTTTTAAATAGACTTATACAGAGTGTGGTTTATTTTGTGCCATGCCTTATTTGGATAAAATTATCGAAGGGAAAACTTTGAAGATGTAAATTTTGATTAAGACACAAACTGCAGTGCAAAAAGGTCATATTAAATGTACTTTAGCGCCAAAAGAAGCATGTTGATTCCCATTTTTAGAGATGATTTTTAATTGATTGTAGAAACTAACATATACTTCACAAAATTTTTTTTAAGACTTTAAATATCAGGAGCCTACCACGTGAAACAAATGAGAAAGAAAAACACATTTCAAAAGAGCAGAAATGAACAAATTTAACAATTCCAATTTTTAAAATTTTTTCTTCATTTGTAAAACATAGGTTTTTTATGAAAATAAAAAAAATATAAAATCAAATTATTTCCAGATTTTAGGAAATGAGCTTTTATTTTTCTTATTCTTAGTATAAACCGCTCAAAGAGGAAAGTTACCGATTCTCTGATGGCACATCAAGCACTGCTGAAAACATTTCCTCTGGTCTTGATGACTGGTCTTATTTTATCGGTCAGTAATTCATAAATAAATTATAAATTTAATAGGAGAATTCATTGCACTGTATTATATTCAGTTTTATTTAAAAAAAAAATCCTCTCTTGCTAATTTTTTTTCAGATTGTGACTACTCCACTAATCTGCAAAAGTTTTGAATTGAGGAATGATCATGAAAAACAGTGCAATATCTATAGTTGGCTACTGAAATTGAAGGTGAATCTGCCAGGAGACTGTCCTTACGACAAAGTCATGGATTTGTCCCATAAACTAATGATTAAAGGAATCATTTTTCTAAGTTTCGTTATTTTTTTCGTTGGTACCACGTGGTTTCTCATGATATGTTCATCAAAAAATCATCGACTGGAGATTGGGATTGTAAGCGTATGTACTTTAAAATAAATACTTGGTGTTTCTTTCAGACAAATAAAAAGGAAAATTCTTTAAACATATCTACCTGAAAATTGTTTTTGATTGTATAATTTTTTGGTAGAGTTTGCTCATTGGTGCAACAGTACCTCTGACTGTGCTTATGTATGATGACTATAACAATTTACACGATCTTCAAGACAAGATTAAAGACATGGTATGTTATTCTTCAGGATTAGTATTTACCTTATAAATATATATTTTATTGTTTTGAGTTATAAAGATATGGTCATTTTTAAAACATGTTTTAAAAGAATGACTGCACTTAAGGACGTTATTTGGAACCTTTTCGGCTACCCATTTGAAGCTTAACATAACAATATATCGCTGAATTAATCTATGATTAATGTGCAAGCATATGCTTTTGACATTTATTTCTATAATTTTTCGTCATACATATTTCAATAATTACATAAAACGCTTTTGAAAAGAACATGTTTAACCAATAAATTCCGGAAAATTGAACTAGACCGCTTTCGATTTTAAGGTCGCAGCAAAGGGGCGGAGACATTTAAATCGCATGGTAATGGATCATAAGCGCATGGTTTTCCGTATTTGATTTATATTATATATATATAAAAAAAAAAGACCGAGAAGAGGGTTTTGTGTTCATTTTGTACAAAAAAATAATGATTTATAACCATGCATATAATTTCATTAATTTGTATCCACGTAAGTAAGTAGAGAAAGTTAGTAAAGAGCAGAATATTAAGAGAAAAAACAAAAAGTTCATAAAAATAAACACAATTGTGATAAATATATGTATGCATTTTGTACGCTTATGCTGGTAGTGCCTGTTTTGAGTATTATTGGTAGATGAAAATGACACTGAAATACATTTTATTTTCTGAACATAATAGGCTGTCTTCGCATTAATGAAAAATAATTTGCAACATGTCTATAGGATAATCTGAAATAAGTACACACAGTAAATCCATATATGACCTTGCCATTTGATTATTGGCAGAGTTAATTTTCAAAAAAAGTTTTGATCGGTATTCAGAGTACAAAGGGCAATGCATTAAAAAAAAAGAATTTCGGCTTCTACATTATCAAGCACTGCATATTTTTCTCTATCTAACGTTCTTATAAAATTGGAATGCTTAAAATTTCACTGCTCATGTATTATTTGCTGTCAAGCAGCGAATTAAGTAAATCTTAAAATTATTAAGTGTTCGTACCTACATTGTATTAAAAAAAAAAAATGACATTTTCACTTTATCTTAATCGTATTGAATAATAATTGTGGACTTATAAGTAACGGGAAAATAAAATAAAAAATTAGCTTTTTTTTTAATGATGACTGTGGGCTTCTACCCTGACCTAAAACTGGTCGGGCTCCCGTTTTCAAATTTCTGGATCCGCCACTGCTATATGTACAGCATGTAATCAGCAAAATAATACCCTTTTCCTTTAAAATACCCCGAACAAAAACACTATAGTGAAAGAAATCAACGTAAACTTTAAAACGCTAATAAAATGTACGCAAGGATCTTCAATATTTTGAAGATGGAAGTACATGTAGATATGAAAAGAATTTTCCAACGACCTACACAATGAAAGCGTGTCGAACACTTGAATGTCACGTGAGAAAAGTGATTATAATATCAAAGGGGTCACATGGGCTGAAACTCGCAACCTGCTAATTTAGTAGCTATCTCGAGCGAAGTTTGGGTACATTTTTTTAAAAATTAGATATGAGCCGCAACTTGACCAACATTGTCCTTCGGATATGTATAAGTTTTAGTTAAAATGCACATCCTGTGCAAATGAGAAAAATGGTCAAGTTGCGGCTCGATGTAAACAATGTCGTTGAAAACTGGTATGCATATGAATAACAATAGAAATGAGACAAAACTGTTAGACCCCTGTTTCAAAAGCCAGTGTCGCTCGGCATTATTTAATACTTTCATGTAATTTAATAAACCAAATCCTGCTCTTACGATATTGTTTAACACCTATAAAACATGAATTTAATGAATTTTGGAATTTTATTTTGCGCAAATCATTGGGATCCAACTCTCATAGCTTAAGTGCAGTCATTCTTGTTTGTTACATTTCATTTTATGAATCCAAATCTGTTTAAGTTCTTTTTTGATTTTTATATATATTGTTCTATTTATATTAGAATTGGACAACTTTACAAGCTGATATGAAATCTTCTCTTACGACCAATTTCTTAAGTGTTAACCTCACAAGTCCGAATGAAACCTCAAACCAGTGGAATATCCTTTTCATAGAGGCAAGTATATTTAAAGAAATATAAAGTGTTTGGTAGTTAAGTAATAGTGCTAGTTTTTTTAGTTTTCTTTTTTCTTTGTTCCTAAGAATTTTTTATTTTTCTTTGTCCTGAGGAAAATTACAAAAATTATATATGACAGTTTATTTAATAAATAATTTTGTGAACTGTCTAAAACATAGGGTTAATGCTTTGCGAAACAAAAGGGACATAAATGGCATCGGTTTGATGTCAAATGCAGTTTTGATATATAGATATGCCCCGCTGGGATGCTCCGCTTTGCAGACAGAGTGTTTCTGAATAACTCAAGTATATGCCTACCCCCTTGACATTAGAAAAACATGTCCTCGGCAGACAAGATATTGAGATAAAAGTTTTTTTTTCGCATGTAGAAAGTCTGTTTCAATATGTTTTAGTATAAATGTTGCGGAGTAAGTAGCATTCACGGTACGACAAACGATTTTGACATCACTCCATGGTGTACAACGAGTGGATCATGTCAGCAAACAAATTCTCAGATTCCTAAAACATGCTGTCTTGGAGTCACTATGGAAGACTACCAGTCAGCTTCTAATGAATGTCATGCTACAGTCACACCCCAAACATATAATAATAAGGTAAAATGTCTGATGTATGCTCCAGTATGTACACGAGATATTGAAATATCACTCTAGCATTAAACTCATGTAAAGGTGAAGCAACATTTTAAACGTTTGAAATATTTTATAGGGCGTTTAAGAAATATTTATCTATAACTAGACATGATTATGTTACAGGTTATTAAATGTTTCTTCTAATAAATATTTTAGTATAGTTTTCTATAGATAAAAATCAAAATAAAACATCTTGAATAATAAATGATAAATTATGATTTATTTTAAATTAATCAACATGTTTTTATTTTTTTCCTTCTCATTTAGGGGTGCTATAAGGCACTGATAGATATATTAATGGAAGAAAGAGACAAGCACAAAATAAAAATCGAGCAGGTTCTTTGTGAGGGAATGAAAATACTAATTGCGATGGTAGGTCTACATTCTAAACTAAACTAAAAAGTTGATACTAGAATTATTGATTTGATAATGAAAATAAATTTAAGATACAAGTACAATATGGACTGTTTAGAAGAGAGACATTACAAACAGGTATGAGTAGGGTTTTTATCCGAGGGCGCTTGGCCTAGAGGTGACAACCCTACTCGGACCTGATCATTCGTGATTTCTCCCTGCTTAAATGTCCATGATTTTATTATCCTGAAGAATCCAAATTTAAAGAGTATGAAATATCAGGTAAACCTCTGGCGATCTATAACCCTTTGGTTTGATTTTATTCTTTCAAAATTTGTAAACGGACACCTTTCACTTCAGACTCCAACATGGGGGATATTAGTACATTAAAATTTTACCAATTGAAAAAAAATCAACAAGGGAACATTCACCATAATGAACTACAAAAAGATCTAAGATATAAAAGGTACTGACAGTTGTTAAAAATCATTTAATATTTATTTTGTGGGAAGTTAAGGTTTAAAATAATTTCAGAACAACTTTAAAAAATGCTCATCATACTAAACTATTTACATAAGTGTTCATCAAATTATAAAAAAAAAAAGATATTGTGTTTGAGTTCAAATAAATATTGTTTTGGTATAAATTTCTGTCTTTCATTCTTTAAAAAAGGATATTTAAACAAATAATGAGACTCATCATTAAGTCTATAGTTGTTATAGAGGTTTTAATGTCTCTCAGATCTATCAATGCTATAAAATTCAATAGCTTCAATTTGCAGTTATGACTGAAACAACAAAATTTACAAAATTGTAATGTAAGATCAGATGGGTTTTTTTTTCAGATAATTTTCAAAACCAATAGAACACCTGTACATTTCGAACACGCAAAAATGATGATTAATATATTAGAGTTAATTTTGTATCTTATTTTCGACACTTTATTGACATCTAAAGGGAATCATCAAAGTTGCCATCCTGCACGCTTGCTTTCACTATTTGTTATCATCTGAAGGAGACATCACAGATGTCATCCTACTGATTAGGGAAGCATCACAAATTCTCCCCATGAACGTAACATGTTCTGAATCAATCATATTGGCTGCATTATCCTTAAGGATGATAAACAAATTTCACTTACAACAATACTTAAGGTATTTCCATCCTCCGATGATGTCATAGGTTTTTGCAAAACTGTTATTAATTGAAATTCAATCCAAGTAGAACAAAAATTTTTTATAAGAATGCTTTTCAATAGATGTAATGATAGATATTGTTAAGAAAAAGAATTTTAGAATGCTTATTTTCTTTTTTCATCAATTGTTCAATCTTTAAAAAATGTTGACAAGGGTTATAACTTCTTCTCAGGTATCTTCATTCAGGCATTTTCTTTATTGTAATTCTTATGTAAATAGTTTCCTATTCATAATTCAAAAGGACATTAAAAGTAGCAAGTACTTTGGAACTTTCAGCATCGGAATTATGTAATTGAACCAGTTTTTACATATTTATTATCATAATGTTTACAAAAAATGTACAATTCTCTGTTTATTTCATGTATTTATATCTCCTATCCTAAATATATGGCGAACTATACATGTTTTGCAATAATTAGTAAAATTAAACTATTTCAATGAAAATCAAATGCTGTTTTTGTACTACTTCGCACCATTAAAATTGTGAGGGTGAAAAAACCTTAACAAAGCTGAAGTCTTGTTTGTCATCTCCATTCTCCCAGTCAACGTGTTCTTTATAGTTATAAAAATTCTTCTTTAAAAAAATGTTTTAAATCACGTTCACAATTTTTTTTTTTATTGAAGAACAGCTTATTCATTGCCAATAAATAAATGAATAAATAAACTCTTTAATTTAAGCAATTTTACAAATAGCGCTACTTTCCTGATTTGCTAGGTCAATATATTATTCTCTTCTTACAAAATTCTAAAATATTTAAAAGAAAGAAGAAAAGCAATTACATTGTATTTTGAAGCCCAGAATATTTAATTAAGAAGGCTGGAATAGGTCATGGTAACTTTGAGAAAAATAGGGACTTTTCACTTAAACATCAAAAGTGGTTACTTGAATTATTGTCAAAAGAATAAAATTACGGAAGCCCAATAGTGCAAACCAAAAATAAATAAAGAAAAACGAAATTAATATATAAAGAGAAACAAAATTAATATATAAAGAAAACGAAATTATTAAATAAACGGAAACGAAATTATTAAAAAAAGAAAAACGAAATTATTAAAAAAAAGAAAAACGAAATTAATATATAAAAGAAAACGAAATTATTAAATGAAGAAAAACGAAGTTATTAAATAAATAATTTCGATTTTCTTTATTTAATAATTTCGTTTTTCTTTATATATTAATTTCGTTTTTCTTTATATATTAATTTCGTTTCTCTTTATTAATAATTTCGTTTTTCTTTATTTAATAATTTCGTTTTTCTTTATTTAATAATTTCGTTTTTGTTTATATATTAATTCCGTTTCTCTTTATATATTAATTTCGTTTTTCAAGTAGAAAACTGAAACTAAAATACGGAATTTATATATGTGCATGGTAAGGGCCTGCAGGTGTCGTAACAGTAAATCATGGCTGATGCAAAATAATCCCGAAATCTTCCCTTCCGATTCGACATTTTTATACGAGACTGGAGCTGATTTTTTTTATGAGATGAAAAACAGCATGTTAACTTCCTGTATTGACCAGATTTATTAAAATTAAGGGCGTGCTGATTTTTTTATATACTGTCAAGAGTGGGGAGTGATTAGGCCCTGGACTAGATTTTAAAACACCTGCTCGACTTCGACCGAAACAAACTTGCGTGTCTTGCTGGGTGGCTATGTATATTTTGGTACTAAAATCTTTATAAAGAATGGTTTTACAAGACCTGAAAAGGAAACTTTTGAGAAGTTTGTTTTGAATTAATTAAACTTACTCAAACTTGCGCATTTTTGGTAAGCAGAATGTAATACTGTTGTGCAACCTGAACCCATGAATCATTCCATAAAGCGCACATGCTACTTATATAAAGCATCGCCTCGTAACTTTTTACGCCTTATATCGACATTACAAATGTGTAGTGGAAATGAAAAAAATTAAAGAAGATATAAATGTCAAATTATCATACGTAGAAAAAATATGTACACACGGCCGAAAATTCCCATTTCCGTAAACAATTCATAAACTATTCAATTTTGTTTATGTCCCGTTGTGTCATATCCCCACATCATTGATGGAGTCTGTAAGCCTTGACGTAGCGAGGATGGCTGTTTCTGTTTGCATAGAATTAATGACATTCCAATAAAGCTCATGAATCGCGAGAAGGTCAAGACCTTGAGTATCGTATTACTGAATTCCCTCGAACTTAACCTAGCGCCCTATCTGTATACTATAAATCATAGGTTGTTGAAACTATAAAGAGAAAAATGATTTGATTATTTTGTGGGACTTGTTTTGTGCAAGTGTGTGCATTGTTTGTTCACAAATATAACTGATTTATAAATACAGATTGAGAGTTTTTCATTTAGAATATGTGAATCAGGTACAGGTGGTCATGTAGTACCACTGACACAAATAGTACATATTGAGGGTTTGACATTCATTAAGACCAAGAAGTCAGAAGTGTTTTGCTTTATTTCTAATATTGTAAGCAATCATTAAAGTCTATTTATTGTAACCACTCTGACTTGTTTTAAGTTTTGCACTTGTTCTCTTTAAACATTTTTTTTTATAATGTCAAACAAACCCACAAAGTCCGATCAGTAACGTATTATTTTATGGTATTTTCTAATGCATGTACTGTAAAGCCATGGCCATGGGGATTTAATTTCCCAAATGTTAAAAATTCAACAGTACATGTTGTAAACAACTGAATCTTAACCTTCATGTTTATCTTAAATATCTGTGCAATTTATTAGGATAATCTCTGTAATGTTTCATGTCCAAAGTCATTATTTGCGTGTCCAGATTCATTATTTGCTGATCATTAGACCTTTCGAGCAGAGGGTTTAAGAAAGCTTATGTTAACCAATTGTTAACGTCAACATCTCATCGAATTAATCACTGGCCAAATTATGAGACTGGTTAAAGTTCACATTCATCGTGTTAATGTAAGATAAAAACATAAATCTAAGCATATTACTATTAGATACCAAAGGTTAAATACTCCTTCATTCAATTATTGTGATAGTTATGTATTCGATTTGGGAGTCAGTGAGTGCAAAGGCAAACATTGTCGAAACAAAATCAAGTCTAACAGACGCGTGCGCTAATGATTTATGAGTTCAGGCCCTTACCATGCACATCTCTAAATTCCGTATTTTAGTTTCAGTTTTCTACTTGAAAAACGAAATTAATATATGAAGAAAAACGAAATTATTCAAAGTAGAAAACGGAATTATTAAATAAAGAAAAACGAAATTATTGAATAAAGAAAAACAAAATGATTTATTTAATAATTTCGTTTTCCTTTATATATTAATTTCGTTTTTCTTTATATATTAATTTCGTTTTTTTTATATATTAATTTCGTTTTCCTTTATTTAATAATTTCGTTTCTCTTTATTTAATAATTTCGTTTTTCTTTATATATTAATTTCGTTTTTCTTTATTTGATAATTTCGTTTCTCTTTATTTATTAATTTCGTTTTTCTTTATTTATTTTTGGTTTGCACTATCGGGCTTCCGTATAAAATTGTTACACAGAGAGAAAAAAGCATACGGGTTACAATTGTGTTACTTTTAGTTTTTTGTAATTTTTCAGGTAATATGTATGATTTTGCTAGTTTTTGGAATCCTTGGGGTTGCTCCTCGCGGAATCAGTTATTGCTGCAACATGTGCAAAAAGGAATCAAAAGAGAAGAAAGGCGAAAGTCACAATGGAAGCATTCCGAATAAAAAAACTGAGAAAACGACACTGTAACATTTTGAACCAGGTTCATAATAACGTTTATATCATTTCAATACTGCATCTGAACGAGAATTGCTGTCGAAATTAAAATCATTATATTTACAATTCTTCTGCAAATATGTTACATGTATGAGTAATCTTGTATCTCAAATGTTTAAAAAAAAGAATACTATTAGGTACTAATGTCAAATCATTATCTTCATATTTCATTCAATCACAAAAAAACAACACAGTACAATTATTCAATTTCTGATCTTTTTAGGTCACCTGAGTAACTCAGGTGACCCATTGCTATCCGTTTTCGTTCGTCCTCGTGTGTTGTGCGTCGTATATCGTGCGTCGTGTGTTAAGATTTGAATATTTTCAACTTCTTCTCTGAAACCACGTAACCAATTTCAACCAAATTTGGTATACAGCATCTATGGGTAAAAGGGAACAAAAATTGTGAATTTTATGATCCCTGCCCCCCCCCTCCCCACTGGGGCTTGAGGGGTGGGGCCAAAACCATTTAAATTATTGCAATCTTTAAAAATCTTCTTCTTTACTCCTGGACATCAAGCAGCAAACTGTTGGCATGAATGTAATGAGCATTGAGTCCTCTACCAAAATTGTGAAATTCATGGCCCCAGGGTCAGGCGTTTCTAGTGCTAGGGCGGGGCTATATAAATTATATAGTGAAAATGCATGATTTCTTTGAAAATCTTCTTCTCTGCTCCTGGGTATTAAATAAACTAACCAAGCACATAGTTATGATGAGCAAGAGTGTCTCTTCCAATATTATGAATTTTATAGCCCCAGGGTTAGGGGTTCTGGTGTTAGGGCACGGGGCTCTATCGATCATTTATAGTGAAAATGCATTAATTCTTTGAAAATCTTCTCTGCTTCTGGGTATTAAATAAACTATGTAAGTGAATAGTTATGTTGATCAAGAATGCCTCTTCTAAAATTGTAAATTTTATGGCCCCAGGGTCAGGGGTTCTGGTGTTAGGGCGGGGCTCTATTGATAATATATTGAAAATGCATCAATTCTTTTAAAATCTTCTTCTCTGCTTCTGGGTATTAAAATAAACTATGTAAGAAAATAGTTATGTTGATCAAGGGTGCCTCTTCCAAACATGTAAATTTTATGGCCCCAGGGTCAGGGGTTTTGGTGTTAAGGCGGGGCTCTATTGATTCTAAGTGAAAATACATTAATTCTTTGAAAATCTTTCGTTTGCTCCTGGGTTTTATGCCAATGATCCAAGTACGATGTACGAGGGCTGTTCGGAAATTATTGAGACAATTACATTTACTCCATAAAGGACGGAGATAATTTCATGAAAATTCATCAAAATTTTATAAAGAACGAATAAAACACTTACGCAAAATTTCTAATTCCTATGATAATAAGAAAAGTTTCGGTGAAATGATGAACTTGCATATGTCGGTTGACCCGGAGCAGCATCACTACGTCATTTAACGTCACGTCAGCCGGAGATGGTTTCGCATGTAAAATGATCGGAAAGCGTTTAATCCTTTTCCTTCTTTGTAGTTACATATAAAAGTAAAAAAAACAAAAAAGTCTCTTTTCTTAAACTATTCGTTAAAAATGTATGCTGTTGCTACCCGAGTGTAAAATTTTCATTTGTGGAAAAAGATGACTCAAAGTCATGCAGTACCGATTTATGCAACGCGGCTTTAATACCGTAACGATATTTATACCGTACGTAATAACTGACGGTCGTCCGGAACTTTTGATTTTGCTCTGGTTGAATTAATTATAAAAAAAAATGTATAGCAATGAAACAACAAACCCTAACACATAATTTTTTTCTCGTTGTTATTGTTTTAGCAGGTCATTGAGTTTGGAAAAGAGCTCTACATTGTGCTACACAAAATTTTAGGAATGTTCGCTGCTCCGCCCTAGACGTCAAAATCCATTTTTTCGTTCTTAGCAGATTGCTCTACCGCGCTTAATTTTTTTTATGATCTCCGTATTCCTGATTAAAATTCTTACAAATTTGCACAACATGAATTTGAATGAAAGCTGAAAAATTATACACATAAACAGAATTAGTTTCACTCTTATTATGGATCCACGAAGAGTTAGAACGTTGGTGTTACTAATTTTTAATATCTGATTTCGAGACTGCTCCGGGTACCCCTACTAATGAGGCATTTATATACCATTGTACAGAAAATATTTATTATTTGTAAAATATTTTTTGCTTTTATTAATTTTTAGTGTATGTCAAACGTATGTGCAAGTTTCCATCGAAAGAAGATCATTAGTAAGCAAAATATACACAATGTCTCAATAATTTTCGAACAGCCCTCGTATATAATTATGATGAAGAAAGCTGCATCTAGCAAAATGGTTATTATTTATGCCCCCTCCCTGGGTCGGGGTGGGGGGGGATTGTACAAAGTCTGAAAATAAATCAATGCTTTGAAATCTGCTCTTTGGTATTAATCAACCATTTAATGATAAAATTTGCAAATTTTGAAATATGTGGTCCCAGGATCAGTGGTTCCTTTGGGATGAGGTGCACAACTGGCTATAAAGTGTAAGTGCATTTTCTCTTAATGTTACTCTGATCTACCTCTGGGTATTAAGTAAATAGAGTAAGCATGCTAAGTCTATAATAATGATAAGCAATGGTGCCTCTTTCAGAATTGTAAATTGCGAATTTCATGGCCTCTGTTTTAAATCACGAACCAAATTTAATTGTTTGAAATTTGTTGCGCAATACTCAGGTGACCTATAAGGCCCGTGGGCCTCTTGTATATTTTTGCTTTTGAAAAAAAAGTTTCAGTCCTTAGTGAATTTAGGCTATGAAATGCACTTTTCAAACGAGCTTATGCAAATATCTTAAATATATGAGCGATTTTATATCTCTATACCTAAAGAATTAAAAAAGGGAACTAAAATGTTCAATGAAAAATAATACAGTTAAGTACATATTATAGATAATTATCATCATATTTCATTCAATCAAAAAACAATACAGTTTAATTATTCAAGTCCTAATCTTTTATAGTTTCGTTTTCAAAAACGTTTCATTACATGGAGATTTCAGCCTTTGAATTGAGCCTTTTACTGTACTTTATAGACTGATTACTATTCGTATCTTAATATATTTCATTCTTTTTTTCTGGCTGTGATATTATCTTTTTATACATGATGTTGTTCCTATCTACCAAGACTTTGTTGCTTTATAAATGCCTTTTCAAAATAACACGCTTTTTTTGTTTTTTGTTTTTTTTTAATTTTTGCTATTTTTTCTTATAATTATTATTCCTTCACACAAATCATATTGTACAAACAACACAGATATAAATAGCATAAAAATGATTTTAGAGATTGCGAAAGTAAGACAGAAAGGAACAGACGAGGGAAATAAAGGAGAGAGTAAATGAAAGGAAGAGAGAACTTAACGAGTATCCGTTCTTTATGTACATTGAAGTTCAAGGTCATATTAGAGATCAAAGGTCAAATATTGCTACGTCATCTACTGAATTTATGTGTTTTTTGTCATTGATTTTTTTAAAACTCAAAATATCTGAAACCACCGGTTCAATTTTGCATATTTTTGATTCAGTGAATCATTTCAATCAATCTGATATATACATATGTATATATTTTTTAAATTGAATGATATGTTTTCTTTTAAAAAAACTTAAAGTGTCTAATACTTACATGTGAATTTTCATTTCCCTGGACATGCATGTTCTTCTATCTTACTCAGATTTACCGGTATTAAGGTAATTCCACCCTCCTATGATGCCATAGGTTTTTGCAAAAACTGTAATAAGTTTAAATTTATGCGTAATAGAACAATATCTGTAGGAAAAATGCTTTACAATAAGTGTAATAATAAATATTGTTAATTAAAATTTTATGAAAAGTGCATATTTTATCTTTTAAATCAATTATTCAATCTTTAAAAATGTTAACAAGGGCAATAACTCCTTCTACAGTTTCTTCACTGTGGCATTTGCTTATTGTACTTTTGATGTAAAAATTTTTCCCTGATATTCACAATTCAAAAATATCTTATAAGTAGGAAGTATTTAGGAACATTCATCATCAAAGTTATGCATTTTAACCAGTTTTTACATATTTTTCATAATACTGTTTACAAAAAATGTGCGATTTTTTATGTTGACATACACTTTTGTTTATTTATGTTTGACATCTTAAATAATCTGGTGACCTATACATTTTTTGCAATAATTGAAAAATTTAGAGTATATTAAATGAGAATAAATGCAGTTTTTGTACTTTGAACCATTAAAATAGTGAGAGTGGAAACACCTTAATGAAAAGAAATTTGCTTGTAAAAACAGCATCACACAAATTTGTAATATATCAATTGTTATTTTGGAGGTAAGCCTCATTCGTAAGTCTAATGTCTGATTCCACTGTCTTCTTTCAGGGATCGGATAGGCTATATTTCAAACAAAGTACTACCTAAAATGCAGGAAAGGATTAACCAAAAGTTTTTTTTTCAAGAAAATAAAACATTCTAAATAGTAATTATTGAAAGAAAATTGCTTTAAGATATTGAATAAGAGAATTTTGAAAATTAAATTGCAGATACTAAGAAACGGAAAGGCATGCATTGTATTAAAGATTAAAGTAACAATTAAAATACATTTTTACCGAACCGATTTATAAAATTATTAAATTTATTATAATATATTGAAAATGGGATTTCTCTTCGAGGACATTGAACGTAAAAAAGGATACATTGTGGCAAACGTGTTGTAAAAATCAAAAATCATGTTTATAAGAGTATATGCAGAATATTCGGCATATACTAGCAATGGACTAATAATGGACTAACAATCTGAAAAAAAAATATCAGTCAGTATTTGACACAATGATAAACTGTAATTGCTGACAAGATCATTATATTGACCATAGAACGTACATGTACGATATGATGTGCTGAAACGAGACTTCTTTTTTTAATGCTTGTTTGTCAAAAATGCATCTCGTTTGTAAAATTCTTCATGCATAGAACATCCTCTTACGTATCGAATCAGCTGAGATATATTAACTCTGTATGCAGGTGATGAAGGTATATTGCAGCATAAGTAAGGGAAGCTGACGATAGAAAAGATAAATTTGTCACGTTTATCATAGAGATTTGTCGTTAGATTACCATTAACGTCTTTTTCAAGTAAAATATCCAAATATGAAACTGATGTGTCAGACTCTGTAGTATCTTTTATCTCAAACTCACCAAGATATATCGTATTGACATAAGAGTTTGAAATTTACCATTGTTAATTAAAAATGCGTCGAAATGAAGGCCACAGCAAGTGTTTTCTTCTTTTCACGCATAAGATTTTGCACAAATTCTGCTTCATATGAATACAATGATAGGTCTGCTAATTACGGGGCGCAATTGATACCCATTCCAATAGATTTTTGGAAGACCTGGTCCGCAAGAACCACATAGATATTGTCAATAATGAATCTCAGGCATCTTTGTTATCTCAACTTCAGAGTACTTGTGTGTGTAATAAGAATGTTTTTTAACAAAATAATTTTGCAAATGACAAATGACAAGGTAAGTAAATTTGTGAGTTCCATTTTTATTAAGAAAGCAAGCTGGCAATGATATAGCAAAGCCTGGACTTTGATTTATAGTGGTGAATGGTTGTGTATAAAGTCGAAAGGTCTTGAGTTTTTCAGCTGTTGATTTTGGTAAAATCTTGGGTAAAATCTTGTGATTTCAAATTGTCCAAAAGTTGGAATTTTTGAGTATCCATATCTGATTCACACTACTTCTTGAATATATATTTGTACAATACTCTTAACGTTTTTTTATTCACTACTGTCAATATCTTAGTGAGAAGTAAAGAAAGAGACTTGGTTGAACATATACTGGAACCTGCAATGTATTTTTGTTTGAAAGGAAAAATGTGCTTATAATTCGAGTTTAATGCACCAAAATTCCTTACGTCTGAAAGGTGTATTTCATAAAAGAAACATCCCTTCTCAGGCACTTTTGCCCGGTCATTGAGTTTTTTTCAAGTCAAACTTCTTTTAATTTCAAAAATATGCAGGGTAAAGTTTATATTGTATTTACAAGTTAATATCTGAATAATAAAAGTAATTGACTGTTTTGTTTTTGATAGGATTTTATAAGCTTTCTAAATCTATATTTTAAAATTAGTTATGAATATTAAAGTTTATTTATTTTTTTTGAGAAATAGAGAAGGAGATGTAGTATATTTTGTTTGTCTCAGTTATTATAATAAAACATTTGAATTCAAGAAGTGGCTCTTTATATTGATAGGATACTGATAGGTATGTAGAATTTACATTGTCAATTCAGTAATGAATATTATTGTTTCTCTTGCTTGTTTTTTAAAAGATCAAACTTTTCAACAAAATATAATCTACATTGTTTTCAATGCAATTACAAATTATTATTTACCTAAATATTTGAAAGATAAATAAGTCAACATTTTTTTTAAGGATAAGATTAGACCTATCTACCGAGGATTTCTTCACAGTCTTATACATGTGTATTTTTCTTGATCTAAAATTTATAGTGTTTTGTGTTACCGTAAACACATTATAAAATTCAACTTCTACGTGATAGTGGCATCATTAATTATATCGTTAAACCTTTAGTTAAATTGCTTTTTTCCTTAATCGAAAAACTAAAAGCTTTTATTGTATATTTTTAATTTAAAATTCAAGAAAAAAAGACAAATGTCTATTCTAAGCGTAAGCTGGAACAAAAGCATTCATTTTCCGGGAAAATGGGCTGGTTTTGACGAACCTTCAAATTTTCTCCTATAAAAGACGTCGAACTAATTCTTAATTTCAATTACTAAGTTATATATTTAATCTGTTTTATATTTTAATTAAAGAAGACGTTAGAGCCAACTCACTTTTTCTTTACATTTACAGATGAACAACGTGTCTTCTATGATAAGGAATTACTTTTTTCTACATTATGAATAAGCAATACACTATACAGAAATCATATATGACGTATTTAATAAAAATAAGCAAAACAACAAAAACAATCATTTAGGGAAAATTTCTTGTTTTCAGCAGTCTAGGACACATTCATCACTACAACATGGTTACAGATCTTACTGCATTAAGCATTGATGTTTCAAATCCATCCAAAATGAACAACAGAGTCTTCTTATAGAAGGAAATGCAGTAACATTATTTTATTTTTACGAGTTGATGGACATCAACTCAGTAATGCTACTGCTTACAATGTTGACCTAATTTTGACCAAAGAACACACCTCGTTTATTCAGTTCCTTCTACGATGAATTGTATCACATCTTGAGAAACTCTACATAAATAAAAGCGAACATATATATTGAAGACATGTCAATGTTTCTTTTTTTAAAAGGAAATTTATTTTAAGTATAAACAATAACATTTTCATTGACATCAGACATGCCTTATTGTGTCGTTCCGACAAAAAAATAGTGCATTTTAAACCACCGAAGAATGAAAGTGTATTTCGTCACTTCTCATATTCCTATATGTGCATATATGTCTTGTCGATTTTTAAAATTTTCAAACTAATTGCATAAAACATTGGTTAATTTTTCTGTTCGTTGGGATTTATACAAATGACACATAGGCCTAACATAGAGATCGAACTACTTTTTCATATTCATAGGCACCATGCTACTTTGCTTTGTAAACAAAAACACGCAAAATCGGCAGCACAACAGTGACTTCAAAAGAAATTGACGGGACTGTGGAGGCTTACTAGGAAATTTTTAGAAGGTACGTAAATGTAATTACATGTACATTTAAGCATAGTTGCATGTGTTGCTCTGAAATATAAACTTAGCCAGTAGTTTATCGATAGGACTTTGTATGGTACTGACCGAGTAAACATTAGCGCCACCTTGTTTTTGCGGCTTTAGGGGCCTGATTCTATATAAATTTTTCTTTGTGTTTTTTCCGCAAAAGTAGCTTCCATTGTAGTAATGAGGCAACTGCCTCACTAGAAATATTATTTTCAAGTCTTTGAAAACACACAAAACAGCAGTCGTGCGACAGGACATGCCATTGAAATTTCGACTAGATTTCCACTTTCTTGAGAGAATCGGTCATGTTTTAGTGAAAATCGAATGAATATTTTTCTGCATGCAATGATACGAAACGAAATTATCCAAGATAATATTTCTATTTGTTGTATCACACGAAAAATACGACGAGAACGAAGCATCTGTTGGAACGACGCCATTTTTATTTTAGCCAGGAGCGGATCAAAATCCACCACATGCACCTGTTCATAATAAATCTGGAATAAGTTATTTTAATTGATTTACGTTTATTCATATCGCTTCAGAAAAATATAGACCACTTTTTTAGTGTAACATAACAGGGTGAAAGTGTCTTATTTATTTATTTTCATTATAAAATAAAAAAAAATATTCATAAATGGGAATACAATGTATGTGAAAAAAAAAATACACATGTTCTGGATGACATGCGAGTACAAAGGCATCCTGTGTCTTACAACTATGGAATTAACAATTTGAGATGTAAAAAAAAAATAAAGATCAGATTGAGATTTTGATGATCTTAAAGATGCATTATGTTGATGATGTCAAGGGCTCAAAAAAGAAAAGACAAAATTTCTGGAAAATATCAGGTTCAAAGAAAAATTGTCAAAGCAAGTCTCAGCTATTACTTGCATTGCAGCAGATATGCATAAAGCATCAAACAATTTCTCAGAAGATAGTAGAGGTAGACAGTGTACATGTTGCTAATGCACTTGTAAGCATTTTGTATAAAGAAGTGGTTTGAATTCCTACAGAGGATTAGAATTCAAGTGATCTTAATTTATTGCTTTGGAAAGATAATGATTTACATTTAAGATGTCATAATAAATAAAATACCCTTCAAATCTTATTTTATATGTTGTTTTAATTTAGAATTTAAAATTTGTTATTTTTCTAGAAGTACATGAATAAACCATAAGGGCCAGAGCATAATGGTTCCTGGAAGGATTTGTTTACGAAACCTTTTTCATTGCTTCTGGAGGTTTATTGGTTAATTTCTCATTCCGGAGAAATTTAACTCCATCACTACCATGTTGGGGGTTCCCTAATGCCAGATGACATCTCCAGGAAAGCAAAGAGGTACTTTTAAAATGTCATAATAAATAAAATACCCTTCAGATCTTCAATTTTACTTGTTATTTATATGTCGTTTTAATGATAATGTAAAATATTTTATTTTTCTAGAGGTATACACCACAAATGGCAGAGCATAAAGGATGGCTGGGAGATTTGATAAACTTACTGTTGTAGGAGAACAATTTCAAGCATTGATATATATTAGAAAATTGTGCTGTCAGTCTTTTGTATTTTGGAGGACAAGCTTCCCCTTGAAAACTGGCACAAATGTGAAATGAAGAATGTGTATCTTTATATTGAGAACTTTTCCTTGTAAAATCACCTCTGGGAAAAAGTTTATTTCATATCAATTTATTGTGTTCATTATCTGGTCTAATTTTATATTTGTAATTGTTTTAAAATTGCATGGCGAAACACATTTTTGCTCACCTGAGTCAAAAGCTTAAATGAGTTTTTGATCCGATTTCTTTGTTGTCTGTTGTGTTGTAAACTTGTTACAACTTAATTTTTGTTCAAATGATGCCCCTTCCCCCCTGGGAGCTTGAGACCATTTATAAAGTTAAACTTCTCAAAATGGAACTGATATCTTCTTTTTTTCCAAGCCGAGATACTCAGGTGATGTACAAAGTATGTACTTTGTAGTGACATCAATTAGAAGCAATATCATTAAACCGCAGTTTGATAGCAGAAATTTTATTTTCAAGAAAATGTTGGAGGCATATGTTTATATATATCATATTAATTTCATGTTTGAATTTCAAAACCGATTTCAGCTACTACAATTTACATTGGAAAAAAATGCAGTTGTCCAACTTGTGTCTTTTGTGTGTCATGAAGGTAAAATCTTACAGCTTATTGTGATATTAAGATTACACACATTTTGCATTCTTAATGCTCGTTACACTTGTGAGAAAATTATGAACAAAATTGTGACGGCGACTTTCTCTTTTCTAAAAAAAATCATTTTCTTGTATTTTACTGTATATTGTGCTTTTACACATTCAAACTGGAAGACTGCAATGTTAAAAAAATCTTATATGATAAGTATAACAATAGTAATTGTCAAATTGATAATGAAAAGTATTTTAGGTCACCTGAGCCGAAGGCTCAAGTGAGCTTTTCTGATCACATTTTGTCCGTCGTCCGTCCGTTTGTAAACTTTTCACATTTTCGACTTCTTCTCAAGAATCAATGGACCAATTTTAACCAAACTTGGCAAAAAGCATCCTTGGGTGATGGGAAGTTTAAATTGTTAACATGAAGGGCCAAGTCCCCTTACAAGGGGAGATAATCAAGAATAGACAAAAATATGTGGGGTCAATAAAAATCTTCTTATCAAGAACCTCTGGGCCAGGAAAGCTGAAACTTATGTGGAAGCGTCCTTGGGTAGTGTAGATATTTTATTGTTAAAATCATGACCCCCGGGGGTAGGGCGGGGCCACAATAGGGAATCCAAGTTTTACATAGAAATATATAGAACAAAGCTTTAAAAATCTTCTTCTGAAGAACCACAGGGCCAGGACAGCTGAAACTTATGTGGAAGCATTCTTGGGTAGTGTAGATATTGAATTGATAAAATCATGACCACCGGGGTAGGGCGGGGCCACAATAGGGAATCCAAGTTTAACATAGAAATATATAGAACAAAATTAAAAATCTTCTTCTCAAGAACCACTGAGCCTGGAAAGCTGAAACTTATGTGGAAGCATCCTTGGGTTGTGTAGATTCTAAAGTTTTAAAATCATAAAAGGGAAGGGGGTAGTGGGCATCATAGGTAAAGAAAGAGAGGGAATCTGGTAATGAACTGCATCACCCAAGTTACTCTGGTGAGCGATGTGGCCCATGGGCCTCTTGTTTTAAAGAGATATTACTTTTGCTGTATCCACATTAAGGGCATTCAGATATTGTTGTACCATGATACACTGTAGGTATAAAAGAGCGTTTCATTTCATTTGTTAAAATAGGGCACTAATACACAATAAATGTTTAAATATAATGTAAAAAGAATTGTTTTCCTTATTATTTCACATGACATTATTTCTTTATGGGATTTAATAATACAGTGCATCATCTCATGAGATTGACATCAGAAATCAAATGGAAGTCTAAATTTCTGCAATTTTTAAAAGGCAATTTCATTTCCTTATCAGTAAAGCAGTGTTCAATTTATAAGCTTGAACAACCATCAACTCGTATCAGTACTTTCAGTACTTTGATTATTCTATACTGTCTGATGACAGACTAAAGGCATCAAATAAATCCAATGACTAGATTCTACGTCAGTGTCTTTTACGGATAGAGGAATGAAGTTTACCCCCTGCAAACTGTCTTTGACGTCTTCTTCTACTTCTTTCAACTACAGTCCCGCTGGACAATTCATTGCTGGTAATTGTAAAACAGTTAAAAATGAAGACCTCAAAGTAATCATAGTAAAAGATGTTTAATACAGAATTAACAATCTTTCAATTGACGACAGAACTTTACTTCTATTTTGAATTTTTAAGATTTTGCGGAGAATGGGCTTAATCTGACAAGAAAGACCCGAATACTATGTCAGAATGAAATAAGTGCATTCGAAATGTATAAAAAAAAATTTCGTATAAGAAAATGAAAATTAAGGCAAAAAGAAAACTGTCCGTTCTTGTGTTTTCACCCATAGGCATCGGAACCGGGGGAAGAGGAGAAGGGGGGGGGGGGGCTTAGCCCCCCTTTTGCAAATATATGATGACTTTAACTTTTCTATCGTCAACTTTCCTTTTTTATGCAGCAGTATATCTTCATCACCTGCATACGGAGTGTATATATCTCAGTTGATTCGATACGCAAGAGCATGCTCTACGTATGAGCAGTTTCTAAGGCGAGGTAAATTATTGACAAGTAAGTTGATGAAACAAGAATATCAGCAGTTTCATTTAAAGTCATCATTTCGTAAGTTCTATTGTCGATAAAATGACCTTGTCAGCAAATACAATTTATCATTGAGTCAAATGCTGACTGAAGTTTTTCATACCAATTGTTAGTCTATTATTTATACACTGAACGGCGGATTTTCCCGTTATTTCAGGATCATGACAATTAACACACGGCGGGTGTGACTGACTGATCGGCAGGGGGTGCTCACTCCTCCATGGCACCTGATCCAACGTCTGATGTTTCGGAGGTCCTTGTTTGCTCAGCTCTTGTTTTGTATTGTTTTATGGACTTTGAGATTGAATACTGTTCGTTATCACCTTATATTTTTACATAATGTAGGCATTGGAGGTTGGGGTTTACTTTTTTGTTGGTTAAGCCCCCTTTCAATTAGCTCTATCCCAGCTTTCAATTTGCCTCCGACGCCTATGTTTCCAGAAGTGATATAAGAGTTAGAGTGACTACATGGACAATATGTTATGGTTCCAGCAGACGATACCACAGTAATATCGTCTGCTTTTCAATCAAAACAGAACTCAGAAATGTTACAATCTTGTGATTTCTCATAAGCAAAATCAATTTCGTATCTGATTGCTCAAACGAGGACGATGAAGTTGATGTTAAAAGGATGCTTGATTTTCTCTAGGACAACATTTATGTAGTTTACGGAGAGGAAATTCTCCAACAAACTTTTGGATTTCCGATAGAAACTTATGCTTTTTTATATATATATATATATATATATATATATATATATATATATATATATATATATATATATATATATATATATATATATATATATATATATATATATATATATATATATATATATATATATATATAGTCTGCCACACTCGTTTCATGTTTAGATGTTTTACTGATTAGATAAAAGATAGAGACCAAATATCAACTGCTTTATATGACAAACGAGGAGACTTCACTTTTACCTTCGTGATTCTTTTCATTTATGTAGCATTATTAAATAATCAACAGCTTATGGTGTTTCTGATTACAGATTATTGGCTATTCGAAAGCTTGTTCTGATTTACTGATTGTTTACTGTTTAACGTCCCTCTCCAGAATATTTTACTGATATGGAGACGTCTCCATTGCCGGTGAAGGGCTGCAAATTTAGGCCTTTGCTCGGCAGCTGTCGTGACACGAGGCCTCGGTTTATACGGTCTCATCCGAAGGACCGCCTCATTTAGTCGCCTTTTACGACAAGCAAGGGGGTACTGAGGATTAATTCTAACCCGGATCCCCACAGGGCAGAAGCTTGTTCTGAGTTCGATTACTTTTCAAGAGGGTATGCTTCTCAATGATCAACAGATGTTACAAGGATTTCAACACTTTGGTTTAAAATTGGCATTTTATAAATTTTAAGGTCGTTATAATGACCTTGTTATACGAGGGACGTTCAACAAATAATGTCATTAGATTCTTGGCACACAACATAAAAATCATATTCCATTAAGGATTTCAATCCCTAATGGGACCTAATTCTCTACCCTTAAATGTCCGTCAAGTACACAATACTCTGATATTATATTAAAGCATTTTATAGTGGAAAAGGATTGCCCACGAGAAATTTTCAAAATGTTCATTTATTAATGAGTAGTTAATTAACAAATATTGCATTGAAGTCTAAAAAGCTTTTTTTTCAAAATAAAAATTCAAATAATTTGAATAAGACCGCAGAACATTAACTGGCAAAATATACAGCTTACGTCATTTCTATCTGTTACAATCAAAACAATCAATCCTGTGGTGGAAAGATGCATTGAAATATTAAAAATAGAATGAAAATTGAAAGCAGTATTTTACCAGCTAAATTTTTTTAATTGATTTTTTTTTATTAATTAAAAAAAGGGAGATAACTCTTACCAAAATTCAAGGTCATGAATAAGAACACATCCCACATAACACACTTATAGTAATAAATGGGAACTATGTCTAAATAAACTGAGTATTGAATGCCTACATATCTTTTAGGTTTTCAATTTCATTGAATTCCTTCCTATTAGGGATTGAAGACCTTAAGTTTGACTTTCTCTAATTATAGAATCTTTAATTAGTTGATAACACATGAAGTGAGCACTTTTCATCACATAATTCCATTGTGAAAAGTTGAAAAACAAGGGCTACTCGAGACACTGCATTTAAAATGAATAGTCAAGAATCAGTAAACGAGAGTGAAATTAAACGCTTCATTAAAGCTGATGTAAAACTTGTTAAGAATCCCAGAGATATATTAATTGAAATGTGTTTAATTTACAGCAATCAATGCCTGTTTTATACACACATGAGCAGATGGA